GACCCCTCCTCCGCACACGCAGGTTGCCAGATTGACGACAGCGACAGGAACGAGCGTACTTGACGATGAATTAAATTAAATACGCTGTGTTTACCGCCAACTGGCAACCCGGGGTGCCGAAATACAATTGGGTAAACTGGCAGTGGGCGGGTTTCACAAACCAAAACAGAGACTGACATTCCGGCCGGAACTCAAATTTTCAAAGGAGAATAACTGACTGTAGCATTGTTTTTCAGATAAACAAGTATGTAACTTAGCATGTTTCTTAAATATCTGCAAACAAATTATGGTATTTTTATGCTTTAGTAGAGTCAAAAACATACAGCACCTTTAAAGGGGTCATATGATGCTGCTAAAAAGAACATTATTTTGTGTATTTGGTGTAATGAAATGTGTTTATGCGGTTTAAAGTTAAAAAAACACATTATTTTCCACATACTGTACATTATTGTTTCTCCTGTATGCCCCGCCTTCTGAAACGCGTCGATTTTTACAAAACTAATCGGTCTGAAAAGCGTCTCTTTGGATTTGAGACTTTAGTCTTTGCAACTTTACAGATCTTCTTTATGCACCAAGAACTTGTAACACTCCAAAGAGAAAGGAAAAAATGAAATTGCATCATATGACCCCTTTAAAGTCATCTGTCTGCATTATTTCAACCTGTTTTTTAATAACAGCATTTAACATTCGGAGTAATTCCTTTCAGTGTAATTACCTATCAGTGCATCTGAAACAAGCAAATCACGCCAAATGTATAAGCTGTAGTTATTTTTTTATTTTCATTGTACATTTGTGTTTTTGTAAAATGTTCAAATATTTGTAGTTTTTGCCTGAAATCTTTGTAATGTTGTAATTAACTTAATAGCTGGTTGGTTTGGTCGATGGCTTATAACTCCCTACAGGAAAAATACTTAAACAGCCAAGGCCGCTGAAAAAAATGGGTGGCACTGCGCACTCTATAAGACCCTATATCAACCTTTTACAGTTCATTATACAGACTTTTTCTCTTTGCATTTGTGATATTCATTTTTCAAATGGAATTTAGACCCTAACTAAACCTCATGACAGAATGACTCATAATAAATCAATCAAACCTCTGGCTGTATACATGGATGTAGGGGAGGAAATCCATACAGATTGCCTGCCTCCACCAGCATTATGGAGCAAGTCTGAGAGGGAGAGATGCCGTCCAAGGAGCTCCATAGCTCTGGGGCTAACAGTGATGAATGGAGCTCTTAATGTCAGCAAACACTTTATCTCTGCTTCATCTGTTTTCATTAGGCAGGACCAACCTTTGGCTTGGACGGAGCGCTCTAGCGCTCCCAGGACTGCTGAAGGCAAAACTAGGTGGAGAGAGCTTCGCTTTTTTAGGCACTGGCAACCTCTCTTTTGGATGCCAAGTGTTAGAGTCATGATCCTGCATGAACTCATTAAGAAAGCATCATCATGAATCAATCAAGATATAACATGCTTAAAACAAGAATAAATATCTGCCAGTGAGGTCAGAAAAATAATCTTGTTTTCTTTTTGAATTAAGCTTATTTAAGATTCCACTGGAAGATATTTCTTCTTGTTAATCATAAACTCATTTTGTTCAGTTTCATGAGACTGCACATCTTCATTTTGCATCTCAAGTAAGTGTATCTTGATTTAAGGATGTTTTAATATTTTTATTGGAATACAAGAGAGGACGATAATTTTTTCCAGTTCATTCAACATTTAATGCCAAGACTTTTAAGTCTTTCTGCTCTGATTAAAGACCTTAATTTGTGTAAGGGTGAATTAAGACATTTAAGACCTTATTAAGATCTTATTATTACCCACAGAAAACCTGGCAAGGCCAGTGGAGACAGTGTTATGTTCTGTTGGGAAACCTTGGGTCCTGGAAACCCGAAGATTTCAGCAGGATAATGCACCTCACCACACTGCAAAAATTGTTCAGGAATGGTTTGAAGTACATGACAAAAAGTTCAATGTGTTGCCTTGGCCTCCAAATTCCTCAGATCTCAATCTGATTGAGCATCTATGGGATGTGCTGGACCAACAGATAAAATCCAATTTGCAGGACTTAAAGGATCTGCAGTTAATGTCTTGGTGCCAGATATCCCAGAACATATTAGACGCATCAGAGCTGTTTTGGGAGCACAAGGGGGACATATATGATATTAGGCAGGTGTTGTGGCTGATCAATATAAATGGGATATTTATACACCAAAGACTTAATTTGACAAGTTTATTTTTAAAATTATTTTAACCAATTTAACACATAGCCAGAAGGTATGATGTAGTGTGGACGACCAAGCATTTTTGTAGTTTTCAAGCAATATTCATTTCCACCACATAAGAAAAATAAAAGGTTTTTGTAAATTGAGATAAAATGTCAAAATGTTGAGATAATTGGTAAAAAGTCGAAATACTGAGATAAAATGATCTCATAATTTCGACTTACATAATAATTACGTGATTTTTTTTTTCTTACTTGGTAGAAATGGGCTTCCATATAAATCCCAGCTTACCAGGTAGAGACAACTTGGACTGATGTCACTGTGTTGTCATATATGTTGTGCCACTTTAACCACTTTTATTTTGTACCTGAATAAAACAAATGCAGGCTATGAAAGTTGGGGACATCAAAGTAAAACAAGCATTGATAAAACAGACAACAAGACCTTTCAGGTAATATGTGATGTAAGCTTTACTTTCAAATCCTGTTACATTTAGAACTGGCAATTTGAACATAAAGAATGCAAAACCAATAAAACCAAAATACAAAACAAAATAAAAAGTACAAATGATCTAATTACCAGTTATTGTCACAAACAACCCTGTACAGCCTTAAGAATGAAGTAATAAAAAAGCTTTATACAGCACATAACAAGTTTACTGGGTGCCAAATAAGAAAGAAAACAAAATGATACTTTTTGAGCCTTATTGAGTCGTAGAGTACAGCAAGAGATAAAGCAAACAGATTGTGCAGAGTAACCCGCAAAGCTAAATGCAAAACGAGTTGGTCTTTTTTTCGGACCAAAAAAAAGTAAGTGCTACAAACTAGAGATCAAGAGCAATTTCATGCATCTTCTGAAGTGCTAAAAAGGTAGTCAGTCTCGTTTGATGCGCAATGAGGCTACAACAAAAATGCTGCTCCTTGCGATTAGGCAAACAGAACGCCATGTAGCAAGTATTTCTAAATACTGGTATTGGAACAGAGAGCAATCCCTCTTACCCACACAACTGAGCATGAAAGAGCAGCCGCCATGTTCTTCTACATGATGAATACATGGTGTTCCAAGGCAGAAGGACAAAAGGATGTTGCCCAATGGACATTCCGTTTGAATTCATTCAATCAAAATGGGTCCTGAGGATCAGTTTCACTTCATCTCAGGCTCTCGGGCCACTCCTAGCCACCAAGTGGCACTAGAGCATAAAAGATAATGGGTTGAGCAGGAGCTTTATTAACAAGCAAAGAAGCTCCACTTAAAATACAACATACCACTAGACTGCATGCTGGGCATCTACATGAAGAAAAATAAATGATGATACTATGAGAGCAAAAAATACAAGTATAAAATAAGGATACTGTGCGGGGCCAAGAAACTGTCTACCATTTTTAATGGCTCTATTTCTAGCCTGCATTTCATTTATAAACTGGCCTTAAATGCAGAATTTTTCATCCGAATCCTCTCAATGGGCAAGTTAGAGGAGAACAAACTTAAGAAGAATGATCTCTTTGCAGTTCAAGGTTGACCTATCAAAGTAACGCTGCTACTTTTTTTCCATTTAAAATGTCTAAGGTCAGCCGCATTCGAAAACTTTTGTGTACCTGACGCGAATGAGCATAACAGGCCACGCTTTTATCCTTGTCCCTTATCTGCTATCCTTGCATGAATGAAGGAGGGAGAGCATTGTACATCTATGATGGACAACATTCAAATTATTGATCAGATCCTGCTGGCTGGACAAAAAGAGGACTGCAGTTTCGCTGAATGCATCTATCGTTAAAGGATAAAATATTTTAGGACCTCAAGTTCAAGCTTTGCACGTGTTTTCTCATGACATGCTAAGCAGAATTGGTTTATTTAGACCAATATATTGACTAGGCTTATTAATCACCCAATATTTGGCCATGTTGAGCTTATGGGCATCAGCTGATTGGTGTTTGGTTACTAAACCAAACACACGCTACTGTAAGTTACTCTTTTAGCAGCCAATTAAAGTTTCCTACATTCTAAATTCTTAAAATAAATCCGTCTTTCCAGTAACTAAGCAAAGTGCTCATCAAAAGATCAATCCGTTACCGCCGATGTTACAGTTTATCTGTTTTGAACATGAATTAAACTGTATTTGGATCAAAAAGGATTTATTCAGAGCTCGACAACATTATGGGCAGTAAATGTTTTCCATTTTAGAGCATTGGATAGAATTGCGTTCTTGTTTAGAAAAGTGCAATTTTTACAGCACTGTGCAAAACCGCTGTTGAAAAGTTAGCCTGGCCCTTTGGTGTCCAGGGTGGATTTTGAACTCAGCTGTCCGCATTACACATGCCATACGATCCGTCAAAACAGAGCAGTCTGCTGTTTGGCAAATACCTACAGGAAAAAGGCTTTGAATTTGTGTTTTCAACCATTGCAGCAGACAAAAACAAAAAACAAAACAACAATAAAGAAAAAAATTACTTATTACTAGCATTGAGGCTGTTTGACGAGGCAGTCAAATAATTGGCATCAAGAACGTTTTCTATTGGGTGTAAGTGCTTTTGTTTGAAACATTTCAAAAATTTTAAGTGCAATTAAAACTCAAAAAAATCGAAAGGGGAACATAGAATTGTGGTACCATGTTTGCCCACATATGGAAAGCCATGCTTCCAAATATCCTACTCAAAATAATGGCTGCCTCCACATTGCACTTGAGAGCCATTTTCCAATGGGGTTCTCATAATAGCTTGTTAGTACAGGATATATATTTTATATATATATATTTGTATTTTACATTTCAAAGGCTCTTTCAAATTTAAAAGTAATAATAATAATAATAATAATAATAATAAAAAAACAACTAGAAGAACAAAAATTTAAGACACAGAAGGCCACCGAGATACCATTGTTTTTCCATGATCTCACTTACCACAGTCCAGCTACCTCTGTATCACTTTAACATTAACCAACAGAAAGTACATTCATTCAAGTCATTTTTGAACAGGGTTTTTTTTTTTTTTTTACACACAAAATTACAAAAAAGCTCCAAAAAGCACCATTGAATCGGCCTTTGTGACAGAATAATTGGGTCTTTCCCAAAAACCTGTCACCTCATACATCTTGTTAAACGTACAGGTGAGCATTATATGCGTTAGCTATGCACAGGGCGCTTGACTGGTCATTTTTATCTCATGCCTACCGGATACGGCCAGCCCACCTCGGTCAGCTATGGCACAATCTGTAGCGACCAAAAGTATGGTGAAGACATCAAAGGGCTGCATCATGGGTTGACGACCACTGCGATAGTGGTAATGATTGCTTTTGCCATTAGCGTGCCCTGAATGGCTTGTATTAAGAAATGCCATCAGCTGCGCCTCGCAGGTGTCGTAAAGGGCCTTATGCTTGTTGCTGAGGCAAGATTACATTTTGCAGATGGTCTCGCTATTCAGCAAAACCAGTCACCGCCAACAGGCGTGGGGGAAGAAGAGAAAAGAAAGACTACAAAACTATGTACAGCTTGATAAATTAACAAGTGCGTGGTCTGAGGCTTTGCTTTGGAAACAAGACTCGAAAGATAGCAATCCGTTTCATTGGTTTTTGTCGTGCCATATACTGTATACCCCAAGATACTGAGCCCCTAAATGACTTAAAAAAAACATTGCAACACATAGCGAACATGCTTTCGGATTCCTGACAAAATGCACAAAAAAAGCTTAGCGCTTGCGAGCTAATATGTTCTTTGTTTCCTTTTGCCCATCAAAACGAATACAAAACTCGTAATAGATAAAGCACTGTCATTGGATTCCGGGTCATTCACAATTTGTAGAGGAAAACAACTGTTGCAAGACCTCTTAAAAAAGAGCAACGATTGGATTGCGATAGAACAGAAATCGAAATGCCTTGAGCGTGAATAGCTTTTCCTCTGATAAATGGAAGTTTTACTATCATTACTACTTTTTAGGGCAGCATTTTAGTTGCGAGTTGGCTTCGATGATACAGGGAAACGGCGGGTGGAGGAGAAGAAGAAGGGACGAGGATGGTCAAATGGTCTTAGCTCTCTCTGTCAATCCCAGGTATGCCAGGAAGGAGTGTTTGAATGACGTGGGAGAGGGCGGCGACTGCGAGGACGAGTTGGACCAGAATGCCGAAAAGGGCAGAAAGGAGTTTGAGGGCGAGGGGCTGTGGAATGTGAAGCGGCGGGCCGTAAAGAGCGTGGTGAGGGGGAGGAGGTGAGCCAGGTCACAGTTCCTGTACTGATCCAAGTAGCGAGCCGCCAGTGTGGAGAACGTGCCGTTAGCCGAGAGGTAGCGCGTGGTTGGGGTGCCGTCTTGCCGCTTGCTGGTGATCGACAGGGCGACGGACTGCAAGGCTTGAGAGGCGGACAGGTTCATGAGCGGACTGGTGCTCCCGCTGTCCCCGCTCCCGCTGCTGCTCCCACCTCGCTCCAAAAGGCCCGGGTGTGGCGTACCTGGCCGAGCCTCACCTTCCTCGGCGCTCCCCTCCCCGCCTTGGTGCTTTTTAACATGGCGGCTGTAGACGAACGGGTGAGTGGTGGTGAACGGGCACTGGGCGCAACCGAAGGTCTGTCTCGGTGCGTGCTTGAGCCGCTTGTGGAGGTTGAGATTGTCCTTGCGTTTGCAGCTGTAGCTGCAGCGATCGCAGTGGAAAGGCCGCTCGCCGGTGTGCACACGCACATGCTCGATGAGCTTGTTGGCTGTTTTGGAGAGGTAGCCACATTGCTCGCACTTGTAGTGGTTGCCCAGGCGGTGAGCGCGCGTGTGCCTTTCCAGCTCTGCCTGATTGGACCACACGGCTTGGCAGATGCGGCAGCGATACTCCATCTTGTAGTGCGTCTTCAGGTGGCCTTCCATGGCGGCTGGCCTGTTGGTGGAGTAGATGCAGAGAGGGCACCTGGTCAAAAAGGGGAGTAGGGTGTAGGACACAGAGGTGGAAGACATTTAATAATGCACCTCGCCAATGAGAAAACACACTCTGTTCTCTTAAATGGAATGAAGAACACACAAAGAATGGACAAAGGGAAGGGATGAAGGAGGCGTTTAGTGTGTCTTACCCTCTGTCGTGTTTATAAGCTACAGTATGTGTGTATGTATACACTGCTACATGTGAGAGAGGGTGTGTGTGTGCATATGGCTGTGTGGTTGCGGACAGGTTGGAACGGGAATCAGATGAAGGTAAATGAATAAATGAGTGGCACTTACATTTAAATAGCACCTTTCATCTGCTCAGGGCCCCAAAGCGCTTCACAAACCCTGCAGAACAGAATGACCTCAGAAAGCACACTGTGAAGGGCGCCTCTCTACCTCAACACTGAACTAGAGCGCTGTGAAACTCTCTCTCTCTCTCTCTCGCCCTGACTAAAAAAAAAACAGCTGGGCAGCTGTAATACAGCAAGAGTCCCATCAGCTGACAGTAAGCTCTAAATGTATTTGGTCATTGTTGGGTTTTGTGCTCTTGTGTTCTGAATCTGTATTGTGCAAAGACTCTGAAGTTTGTCTAATATGACCAAAAATCTGTTCATAATTTGGAAACATTTTGTAAAAACCCGTAGCAGACAGTGCACCCAGTCCTGTTTTTCAGTAAAAATATCTAAACATACCTAAAACAAAATATGTTTACTTGAGAAGCAATATAGCACTAAATTCTAAGAAAATGTATTTATTTTAAATTTAAAAGTAAATTTTTGGCATTCCACTGGCAATTTTTTTTCTTGTTTTAAGCATAAATCTAAAACACTTTTCTACAAAGTTTATGAATGCATCTAGTAGGCAGCAGGTTAAAAAAATTTTTTAATAGTAAATATATATTTTTTTAATTAACACTGACCAAATGTGTGCCAGCAAAAAGTATGACATCATACAACATATTCCACTGGTACACCTCAATTACAGACCAACCTGGTAATAGTTGGCTTAAAACATGAAGGCTTTACCATCAGATGAATACAGAGAAAAGGGAAGTTAAAGCATAATTGTTTGTAAAAAAAAAAGAAAAAAAAAAAGAAACTGCTTGTGATAAAAGCAAACCATTTCATCCGAGAAACATGAGTCATGTTGAAGACTGTCTTATAGAAAAAAAATCTCTTTAATATCATAGCTCTGTTATCTTTTGGTATGTCTCAGAACCGTTTGAGAACCGTCAAGTTGCTTCAACAAACCGCAAATGAATATTCCATTGAGTTATGAAAAAGTAACCTCTGAGGAGTAACATTTTCCTATGGGGTATTATTACTGCTGCTTTTCTTGGTTACATCTTATATGGGATTATGTAAATAGTATAGAATTAGCAGAGAATCCCCAGAGACTATATGTCTAAAATAAGGACACTTAGGTACAGGTATTTATACATAAAAATATACAGTCCAGTTCCAAACTATGACACCTTGTATGGAATATTCATAAGCAGACATTAATCCAGCCAACTGGAACCCTGCTGTGGGAGAAAGATTCCGTGAAAAAAAAACATGCAGTGATTTGTAAGCAGTCAGCTGCTATACATATACTGTAACATTAATGCCGACCACACACACTTAAACCTCAGAGTCATCGAACCATTACAGATTCAAAATGTAAGAACACATAGTCAAAACAGCAGTTGTTTAAGACACTGATCAACAAACACTCTATTTGCTCAAATACTGTGAATACAAAATAATCAATGGAGGATTTTTTATTTCATTGTTTTTCCTGTGTCTTTTATATAACAGCTAACAAATAAAAAGAGAATAAACCATAGATTACATGCTGAGTCCCTTTCAAATAAGTTCCCATCTGATACATTTTGAAATAAAAGGCAGAAAATAGAAGGCCTGCCTTTATTCACAGTCATCTTAAAATCATAATATTTAAAGGCGTATCATCTTTTTAAACTTTTAATGGAAAATGTGGAATATAAAATTCTCAAATGACACTTCTTGTTCTGCTTTTTATCATAAATGCTAAATAAGACCCCAAGTAAAGTACTGTCTGTCCCTAAAAGTTGATCTAAGCTGCTGCTGATCTAAGTTTATTTTCCTCCTTTACCTGTGATAATGCCTAAGCGCTCTAATGAGTGATAACTACAAACTATCAAATGTGTCTAGCATGGGAAAGCATAGCCATAAATGACAAGATGAGGCAATGAAATCTGAAATACATGACCTTAAGACATGAATTATGTATGTCAAACAACTAGACAAATACAACAGAAAATATCAAAGACTGGACTTTGGGTTAAGTATAAAAAATAAAAAAAGCCCCAAAACAAGATCTCAACTTGGGGGTCAGTATGTCTTGTAAGTGTTTGGAAATCGAGTGTGTATTTGCCTTCAGATGAGTATTCATTGTGTTTAAATGTCTTGTTGTAACTGTGGTGGCGGTTATGACAGGCTGAGAAAGAACAGTGTGAACTGTAGCCTAATGGTCTTGGCAGTGGAGCTGCTCAACAGATGGACAAGTGCTGACTGGCTTGTTGTGATTTCTTCAGATATATTTTTACATGCGGGCCCAGACCTTTTGCAGTAATGTCTACCACAGGCTTTCCAAAGGAAGGGTCTCGTTCCTGAAAGTGCCTGTGATTTGTGTTCACCTGCAGAATTAGTGTCCCTGACTGTCAATAATACTTGCAAAGAGGACTTATGGGGAGCCCTACTTCCCTAAACATTGATGAGGAAAGAAGGAAAAGGTTTTTATTATTTCTTTTGTAAATCAAAATGTGATTCAATAAATTGAAGGTTTGAAGAAGTTTTTAGCAATGTACGTACCAAGTTGTTCTAAACTCGTATAACATTTTCCATGGAACGTAAAAATATCATTGAAATTCTTATCTTTGCAATTACAATGAATAGAACTGTAAATTCTTAAAAAGATTAAAAAAGTATGAAAAATAACAATAAAAATGGTCCATATGACTCATGCTACATTCTTCTATAGTCTTCTAAAGCTAAGTAAGGAACAGACCAAATTTCTTATTTACAGAAAATCTTTCCCTTCAAAAAGCTGTTAACTTGAGAACTGTTACAACCATTCTATTACGATCATTCTGATCAGTTTTGTGAAGCAGATAAACCGATTCCTTGACTATATTTAAACTTTCAAAAGCTAGGGCATGTATCATGATTTCCAAAGAATAATCACTAACATTATGGTCTATTCCTCACAAATAATAACATATTATTCAAAAGACTAGGAATATACGTTGTATGGACTACTTTCAAGTTTTTGCATTCTTTTTGAAGCTTGAAAGTGTCCATTTATGAGTTTCTTTCTTCTGTTGAACACAAAATAATATATTTTGAAGAATTCTGGTAAGCAAACAATTGACGGCAGCCATTGACTTCCATAGTATGGAAAAAGTGCTATGGAAGTCAATGGCCACCATAAACTGTTTGGTTACCAACATTCTTCAATTGGGCTGGGTATTGAGTTTGATACTTTTTGTTCCTTTGAGTCTGTATAAACCTCAACGAGCTGAAAAAAGTTTTTTTATTGAAAAAAAGTAATGTTCAACTGGTACCGGTATTGAAGTCAAGGTATTGGTATCGATATTGAAATTTTTTTAACCACACCCACCCCTATTCTTTAAAATATATTCTTTTGTGCTCAACACTCATACAGGTTTGGAACAACTTGAGGGTGAGTAAATGATGGAAAAAAATTTCATTTTCGGGGGAACTATCTCTTTAATTGGTGAACTTGTTCTTTAAAAACATATTAGCTGTAAAGTGAGGTTATAAGTAGTAAATTCATATCTCTGACTCAGTAGAGTTGTGTGCTCATATGTGTTTCAGGCACATTCAGGAACTCTCTGTCTATAACATGCTTCCACTGTATGCAGCTCCACAGAGAGGTTACCCTGAAGCACTGCTCGATGAACTTAGCTCATTTCTGAAACATCGACCAGTGCTCCTGGATAGACTCGGTTTAAGGCTACGTTTACACAACAACGATGTAGTCAAAAAAACGGAAAAGTTTTTCCCTTGCGTTTTTAAAAAGTTTAACGTATACACGACAACGTTTTCAAAATGATTCGCGTTTACACATAGCCGCGAAAACGACCAAAAACACTGTATAACGTATGCCAGGCCAGTAGTTGGCGCTGTCACCTTGTTAGTAAACAGTACCTGTAGGGAAGTGACGATTAGCTCTTTGTGGGCGGGAGCATAGATATGTATATATATCTATGGGCGGGAGTTCTGTCACTAAAATCACCACACCGACTGTTGCTCTACTCCTCATTCATAGCGATAGCAGCTTGCGCACAGACGTAAACAAACAAGCAATATGGCGAAAGCAGTGAGTATTGGGTGTTTACACGGAAACGATAACGGTGGCGTTTTCAAAAACTTGCTTTTAAACGTTTTTAAACCCGTTTTCAAAAATATGCGTTTTCAGTGCCCAAAATACAGTTGTCGTGTAAACGAACAGGCAAAACGCATAAAAAGTTTCCTGTTTTTGCCTGAAAACGTTGTCGTGTAAACGGCTCCTAAAACCTGGCCTGTGTCCTGTCTAAGGGGGTAGGGGCTGAGGTAGGGTGGGGGCGGGTTTTGTGAGGTTGTGGGGAGGCACGTGCTGTACTTGCTTTCCTTACTTGAGCCCTCCAGCGGGGACGGTGTGGCACTTCTTGTGCTCCAGGAGCTGCTCGGGAGTCTTCATGAACTTGTGGCAGACGTCGCACTCGAACATGCGCGTGATCAGGTGGATCTGTAGGTGCCGCTCGTACATAGGTCGAGTTTTACACACAAAGTTACAGAAGACGCATTCAAAACCTAAGAATTGGGTCAGGAAGAGAGAAAAATGTCATTATCATCTCTATATAATATGTTGTGTCAGCATTAGTTGGTTATGAGGAACTTGATCATCCAAAATTACACATTTAATCAATTTAATAGCTTAGTGATTCTCTTTAGGGCCACTGGTGGTTTTCAATCTCTATAGACCAAGGGACCCCCAACTCAGGGACCCTCGCCATCATTTTTTTCATGGTAACACTGTATAATAACTTCTGTTAACATTCTTGAACTACCATTATTACATTATATATGTTAATAATGTTAATGTTTACTTAATAAAAAGTCATAAAAAAACAGTATTTTTTTTTATCTAGACTACCTTTTAAAGTTTGGGATCACTAAAATTTTTTCAATGTTTTTGAAATATGTCTCTTATGCTCACCAAGGCTGCATTTACTTGATCATAAATACAGTAAAAATACAGTAATATTATGAAATATTAAAATAAAAATAACTGTTTTTATTGTAATAGACTTTAAAATGTAATTTATTTCTGTAACGGAAAGCTGATTTTTTAGCAGCCATTACTTCAGTCTTCAGTGTCACATGATCCTTCAGAAATCATTCTACGGTAATATGCTAACTTGCTGCTCAAGAAACATTTCTTATTATTAACAATGTTGAAATGATTTAATACATCCTTGCTGAATAAAAGTATAAATTTATTATTTAAAAAAAATCTTACTGAATGCAAACTTAAAAAAAAAAAAAAAAGAGTAGTATATAAAAGCCTCACCTTTCTCTGCTTTTTCCTCTGTTCCTGGGCCTGAGCTTGATTGACTGCCCGCAGAAGAAGGCGGGGCTAAAAGGCTTTTTAGTTCTTCATTACCTTGGGCAACATCTCCACCTTCAGAGCTGTTGAGGGAGTCACTGAGGGCTGAGAGAGAGGAGGAAGTGCTCTTGGTCTCACTGAGAGGGCTTCTGGAATTGAGACCTGTGTGGGATAAAAAAAAGAAAGAAAGAGATATTATGGGTCACTTCCTGAATATAAGACAAACTCCGTATTTGAATGACATGATGGTATCAAAGACTCGGCTTAGCTTAAGCCATCAGAGAATTAGGCGGGAGCATCTTTCAGCGCTCAAGGTTTGATAATGAATTCTGTAATGAGTAAAGCAAAAGGCAGAAAAATCCTCCAATTGATCGGAATCCACCCAGTGAGCCGGGCTGGAATATGTATGCCTAGAGCAGTGCGGCATTAAGCCTTAAAAGTCGGGAGGCGGGCTCTATTCCCTAAGAGGCACTCTTGCGGGTTTAGCCTGACTTCTGTATCCAAGCAGCCAGAACACTCAAGCCTGCGCTCTTATTGATCTACGTTGAGCCTGAGAGTGGCAGGGGAGGGGGGCTGCCTAGGTCAGGGCCGCCACAGCTAAGATGGCGGGAGCATCTCAGGCCACGGCTCTCCCCTAGGTCTCTCAGAGCTCACGAAATGGCCGATACCAGCTCTCACACATGCTTCACTCACATGTTAAGGCCGCCGTTCCTTTGAACGAACGCATGCGGAATACAGAGTAGGTGGTCATGTTTAATCTTTTGTCAGCTGCAATGACATCTTTGAATACAGATGCGCTGTGTGACTCGTATGCGTTATGAAGAGTAGGACTTCATCTCCGTGCATGGCCTCTATAAGGCTACTGTACGCGGTAGACGAAATATCAGGATGAATTAACGTCCAGGTTTAGCCGAACACCTGCAGTGTAAAGCAAAGCATGTGTGATGGAGAGAACAGCTGCCAGGCGGGCACCCATTGGGACAGCCACAACTCTCAGCCACCTTCCTAAGCAGGAGACAAAGAAGTGCGGGCTGGTAGGCGTTGACCTGAGGTCAGCCAATCTGCAGCAAGGGGTGTCTCTGGCAGGGTGCTAAATCGCAGTTGACAAACCAACTTGTTCTTTTGCTGTCACTCTCTGAGCTCACTGTCTTGCTGAAAGTGGACTCGAGCTCAGTGGCGTGAGGGTGAGTGTGGGAGACATGGCGGTGTTGGGCTACTTGGATGGTTAGTTGTGAGCGACTAGGGCTATCGATTTTTCAGCCTTCTTGGGTCTAATAACATCAGGCCTCACAGTTAAATATAAACTCACACACCCACTCAAATGTTAACCCCCAGTCAGTTCCATGACCGACTAAAAATGAACCCCACGCACAACCTGAAGATTGAAGTGTTTGTCTATAATAACCCTGATGAGTTTCTGTGTCAACAACATCCACCCAGTGATTCAGACCTTAGCGGTGTAATTTCTGCATCACTAGCACCACAAAATGGACCGTAAAAAACAACTACGGTTTTCAAACAAGTCAACATTGTCACTACATTAAGTGACTTTTCAGACCCCTTTAGCAACTAGCGAAAATTGCCTAGTGACAAATCTAGCAAATCTGAATCTAAATCTTACCTGAATTAAATCTTACTTAGTTTCCAAGACTCAGTTGTATTTAGCAACATTTAGCAAGCAGGCTTTAGCTGCTTTCCATTGAATGTAGTTGGCAGTAATACAGGTTTTCCAAACACTCCTACCACTCATTTACTTTGCACCATGTTTAGTGTTTTGCCTCAACTTCTTGCAAGCTGACAAACTAATTTTGAGATTATTTATGCTAAGAGCCCATAATCTTGTAAAACAGAGTAAATATAATTACAATAAAAACGTAATATATAATGCAATATAAAATGCTCCTGACACTCCAGGTCTAAAGACTACAATCTAGTTGTGCGACGAGAAATCTAATACCATTGGCGATAGCTGGGAAAATGTTTGCAGTTGCACATTTTGCGAGGTGGCACGAGTTTAAGGGATAGTTCACCCAAAAATGAAACTTGTGTCATTAATTACTCACCGTCATGTCCTTCCAAACCCGTAAGATCTTCATTCATCTTCAGAACACAAATTAAGATATTTGATGAAATCCGAGAGCTTTCAGACTCTGCATAGACAGCAACGCAACTACCACATTCAAGGACAAAAAAGGTAGTAAGGACATCATTAAAATAGTCCATGTGACATCAGTGGTTCAACCGTAATTTTATGAAGCTACGAGAATACTTTTGTGCGCAAAGAAAAAAATAATGACTTTATTCAACAATTCTTCTCTTCCCTGTCAGTCTTCGATGCGCGTTCACGAGAGTCCCACGACGCATAAATGTGGTGCTGGTGACGCAGGAGCCGGCGTTCTGACATAAAACACTGATGCGCTGAGACTTGTTTACAAGCAGAGGAATGCACATGCATGTGTCGTGGTACTGGCGTGAATGGTGGTGGAGACTGACATGAAAGAGAAGAACTCATTGAATAAAGTCGTTATTTTTGATTTCTTTGCAGTTGAACCACTAATGTCACATCGACTATTTTAACAATATCCTTACTACTTTTCTGGGCTTTAAATGTGGTAGTTGTGTTGCTGTTTATGCAGGGACAGAAAGCGCTGGGATTTCATCAAAAATATCTTAATTTGTGTTACGAAGATGAATGAAGGTCTTACGGGTTAGGAAGGACATGATGATGAGTAATTAATGACAGAATTTTCAGTTTTGGGTGAAGTATCCCTTTAATTACATCTTTCTAATTATGTCTAATTACACAATCGGTACACAACAATGAATAAACAAATGAATAAACCAGTCCTCTTTAATAAGTCAGTCATTAAGGTTCACAAAACAGTCTGAAACCTTTTTAATTTTTAGTTCCAAAATCTTTCATTTTAGGAAATCATGACTGTCTAGCATTTTTTTTAGTCTGGAGTCCTGCACTCTGAACTTACCTAATTACAACTTCAGCAGAAGCACTTTTGAGTTTCAAAAGAAAAATGCAAATATTATGATGGACTTGCGCCAATGTTGACAAGATCAGAAGGTATGTTTGGCACCCTGCTAAAAAGACCAGACTGGTTTGTACTGGTTGGATGCTAGTCTAGCTGGAGAACCAGCACTGCCGTGATGTACCCCCAAAACTTAACCAGCATGGTCTTTCTGGAAAAGCTGGTTGACCAAGATAGTCATGCTAGTTTAACTAGTAAGTTCACACACCAGCATCCAAAACTCAAGGTTTCAACAGGTAATGTGTAAAATGTAAGAATGGTGAGATCTTACCTGCGTGCCCTGCACTGATGTGAGCTTTCATCTCGGTCTCGTCCACACCCACATACTCACAGGTGCTACAGCAGAGCGAGAACATCCACTGCTCTTTGTCTACATGAAGAGACATATGACTGACAAACTGAGCGTTAAACTCTGTCTGAAAGCCGCAGACGTGGCAGCTGTAGTAGTAGGGGCAGTTTTTGAGCTCTGGGCCTTCGTTGGTAACAGCGGTAACAATCTGCTCGGCGTCTGTGTTCACCAGTTTGACCGAGTGGATGGTGAGGTGCTGGTTGAGGTTGGCTCGGCACTTAGCCGCGTACGGACATAAATGACACTTATACTTCCTTTCTTCTGCAGAGACAAACAAAAGAGCATTTAGAAAGCAAACAAACAGCATACACTCTTTATAAGGTGTCCTGTCTCTTCTTGGCTATTCTGAGATCAGAAGATCTCTACTCTTGAGGCTCACCATTCCCACGGGGCTTTATTTTTTATTTATTTATTTGTTTTGTAGTCCAGACTGAGATGCATTTGAATGGACTGTGATCAGACGGCTCACTGATGCTCCTCAGGGACCTGCGGGACACGATTGTTCAAGGATCAGACGAGGCTGGTCATGGTTGTGCTGTGCTCCAGGGGAGCTTGGTGCTTGGGGAGGCTTCTTTACAGCTTAGTAATTACTTAGGTACTTTTCCCATCAGGACTAATCAGTAGCTTAATCTCTTTTAAGGAAGGGTAATCTAGTGATCCAGTGAACCTTATTTACTTACTTAGGGAATTACTTGTCATAATGACAACATACAATGTTGCTGGACATGTATGTATATATGTGAAAATATAACATGCAACAAAGCTTGTTTTTCTAACTGTTGTTGTGAACCAGCAGATGTCCTTAACCTGGTCAACTGTTAAAAGTTGTTAGCCAGGTAATTTAACATTGTAGTTGTGATTATGGATGCGTGCTTAAAGGTCGGGACACACCAAGCTGATGGTCAGCCGTTGGCGAGCATCTGTCGAGGTAGTTTTTTTGGTGTGTTCCACACGTTGGCTCTTGTCATGTTGACATGTTGAATCGGCGTCAGGACTGTTAGCACAAGCAAAACCTAAAATAAAACTCCAGAAAGGTGTAAAATATGTGACCTTTAAGTTTTAGCGCCATGTCGCATTGATCAACATGCCATTTCATGTTGCATTTTTATTGGCTGGTCAGTAAACGTAGGTCGTAGCAGCAAACACACTGTGTGATGAACATGCTGAATTTCTGAGACTGTCAGAAAATGGTCACAGGCTATCTTTGGTCGCAAGACTGTGACAATGGCTGTCTTTGAACCTCTCTCACTGCATGACATAGGACCACCTTTTAGAAGACCACCTTTTCACAGAAATCGCCACAGTTGTTTCACAATGCCAATCTTTCATCTGAGACAGCTGAAAATCGTGCAGTGTGTAGAAGGCTTTAGACAGTTCTTCTGATGCAGAACACACATGTTAGTTTGCAGTCGGCTGTAATCTGAGTGGCGTGTTCAAGCACAGCTTTTTGGTCCAGATGCCGCCGACACGAGGCGACAACACCGTTGGTTTTCGTCGCCATTAGTTCTTTAAAGTCGGCTTGGTGTGTCCCGGCCTTAAATGTGATACTATAATTTTGGGTTTGTAGGTCATATCAATGACTTGTGTTTTTTTTTTCTTATGCATGTACCGCAGCATTCTGATCCATTCAATAAACATTCAAGGGGCTTTTTGGATATGCAGCGGGTGTGTGCCCGTCCCTTTGGACTTGTGGTTTGCTCATAAATAGGCACATTTTTTACAAATGCTGTCATAAGCAATGTAGCCTCAGGATTGATGGGGGCATGGCAAGGAAAAGGGGGGCAAGTGGTTAGGGAGAAACAGTATTTTTTTGGCATATCAGAGAGGATTTAATGGTGGCAATTAAAGAGCAGATGCACTGGCCTTGGACGCAAGACCTGAAGGACATTTTCATGGGGCTGCTCGTATCTTCTGCCAGAGACCAAACCCAAAAGTCCTGATGGGAATAGTGTCTCAAAGTGGCCCAACGGGAGGGGTTGTCTGACTTGTCGGCACGCTCCCTCAAGAAGTCACAGGGAATGATGCTAAAAGTGCCCCTTTACTCCTCACAATGATCTTGGCTGAAAGACACTTCTGAGTTAAATATATACGTCTACAGGGCGTTCTAATGTCAGGGTGTCAATTTCATTGTTATCATGCACAGTGATGCCAAAGTTTTTATTGGTCCTAAAGCACCCGTTAAAACTAATGTAAGCCATCTATCCTGTGGTAAGTTCTGAAATCCATCATTATTTTAAAAGACATAAGGATAAGTGATGTATTGCTTGCCTGCTCGATTTTACTGATGATGTATTACTTGCTTCAGAAAAATGAGGCACATTACATCAGTTTTAAGCCAATGGGGGGAAAGTAGGGAAATTATGACCCAGAAGAAACTTTTATTGCTCAGACCCTTCCCTTTTATAGATCAATGGAGTTCTCGGTTATGTTTTAAATAAGTAACAACTTTTTCTCTCTTTTAAAATTCCTTAGGTGAAATAAAAACTGACACAAATAAGACAATAGTTAATATACAGTAAAACGACTACACTTAATAATATAGCTCAGATATTAAAAGAATCGGATGAGAAATATTTCAGAAAAAATATGATGATGAGGCAATGTGTAGCTACTGCTGTCACACAAAATCATGTCGGAGGAGACGACAGGTGAAAGCGAGACACTCTAACCACAACTGGAAAAAAAAAAACTTGCCAGTGTGGGAGTTTTTTTTAGATTCCATTAAACAGCAGGATATTAGACATCCCAGTTTGCAGGAAGTGCAAAAAAGTATTTTTTGTACATTTATGATTCAAAATTCTCTCTCCCTTCCTACACTGGTGTTTGCGATTCATTTGCCAAAAATGAGAAAAGTTAAAGATGAATTTGACTGATAACTTTATTTAGTTTCTAAAGATATCACAATAATATTTTCTTTTAACCATGATAATTATGTAGTGAAAATCTGATATTGTCATAGCCCATCTCTACAGTGGCAACAGAGAATCCTCCCCTCATTTGACTTAAAGGGAAAGTTCACCTTAAACAAACAAACAAATAAAGAAAGAAAATAAAAACTGCCATTATTAACTCACCCTTCAAGTCGTTCCAAATTTTGAAAGACTTCCAATCAGCAGTGGTCACAGATATTTTTCACATTTTTTTTTTTTTTGTGTTCCACGAATAACATGAGGGTGAGTATTACACCATAATTTAATTTTTTGCATAAACTACTGCTTTATCCCCAAGCAAGATCTCCTTATACCACTGACACATTTAAGCATCAAACTTAATATTATTGGATGATGTTTTGACCATATTTGAATCTTAAAGATTCAACTTGATTAGTAGTGCCACACTACCAGCATGAATTAGCATCGCTAAACTGCATAATTAAACAAGGGTGCCATGTGTGTGCCATCTCCCAGCCGTCCCCCGCGCTGACCTGCACTGCATAAGAGCTTTAATTAAAACTACAGTGGGTGTTTTGCCCTTTGCTTCAATCTATGAGCGAGTTTAGAAAAGGCAACACACAATCAGACACAGGGTCCTGAATCAGCCTCGTCACCCCCGGGGCCCACGGTTCCACTGAGTCACAGCGCTCATAGGAACCTGTGCGTCTGACTCACGTCCCACCAAGCGGCAGTGCGGCGTGATGTGGTGCTGACAGCTCTGGTGTGACACAGAGCCTGGGGGGACTGCAGGGAAAAGATGGCACCTTCCCACAATGCCTCAGTGGGGGACTTGAGCGGACGAATGCCTGTGCAATGCTTATGACTCTCACCTAATACCTTCATTTTCTTGTTGTTGATGCATTTTTCTCAGTCTCTCTTTCTCCTTTGCCATTAAAAAGACTGGCATTGCTGGGAACCAATATCTATTTACCAATATATGTTTTAACAACCATGCTCCCTAACAAACTTAAAGAGATAGTTTACCTGAAAAGTAAACTTCTGTCATCATTTACTCACCTTCATGTCCAATCTATATGAGTTACTTTTTTTGCTGAAAATAAAAAAGATACACTACCATTTAAAATTTTGGGCTTGATTGATTGATTTTTTTTTTTATTATTAAATAATTTTTTTAAATTGACTGAATCGTTTTATTTTAAAAGAAATTGATGCTTTTATTCATCAAGGACACATAAAAACCGATCATTTAAAACGATACCAACATTTTCTGTCTTTCTATCTATAATCTTCTGTTGAAAATCCTAAAAAAAAAAATCCACAAAACATTTAAGCAGCACAACTGTTTTTAACATAGATAATAATAAGAAATATTTCTTACGCATATTAGAATGATTTCTGAAGGATCATGTGACACTGAAGACTGGAGTAATGATGCTGAAAATTCAGCTTTGCCATATATAAAAATAGAAAACAGGTATATTACAATAATATTATAATTTTTGTTTTAATTATTATTTTTGATCAAATCAATGCAGCCTTGGTAAGCATAAACGACTTTAAGCATTAAAAAATCTTAAAGATTTAAAACTTCTGAATGGTAGTGTATTTTGAAAGTTTTTTTTTGGTCCATACATGAAAGTCAATTGTTTTTGGACCGCGTTGACTTTCATATTTAAAAGAAATTGATGCTTTTATTCATCAAGGACACATAAAAACCGATCATTTAAAACGATACCAACATTTTCTGTCTTTCTATCTATAATCTTCTGTTGAAAATCCTAAAAAAAAAAATCCACAAAACATTTAAGCAGCACAACTGTTTTTAACATAGATAATAATAAGAAATATTTCTTACGCATATTAGAATGATTTCTGAAGGATCATGTGACACTGAAGACTGGAGTAATGATGCTGAAAATTCAGCTTTGCCATATATAAAAATAGAAAACAGGTATATTACAATAATATTATAATTTTTGTTTTAATTATTATTTTTGATCAAATCAATGCAGCCTTGGTAAGCATAAACGACTTTAAGCATTAAAAAATCTTAAAGATTTAAAACTTCTGAATGGTAGTGTATTTTTAAAGTTTTTTTTTGGTCCATACATGAAAGTCAATTGTTTTTGGACCGCGCTGACTTTCATAAAAAGGACAAAAAAGCTAAAACAATAATCTTCTTTTATATTCCAGGTGAATTAATGAAAATAAAATTTATATTTTTAGGTAAACTATCCAGTTCCCTTGTTCAGTCAGCTGGATACAGGTTAACAATGCTAAATTTGGGGTCAAAATATACAGAGTTCATGACACTGCAATAAAAATTAAAACATTGACGCTTAATTGAGACACTAGAGCATTTACATCAATGCCTTGAAGTGGTTAATGGTTTAATTAGTGTTATTAGAGAGAGAAGAGACAGCCTCCGCAGTGATGCTGAAGATGACTCGGGGCAAGAGGAAAGGATAGAAGAGGAGTGTTACAAACACACACACACACACACACACACACACACACACAAAGGATGACACAGACCCAATGAACATAAGTATACTCATGCAATTAAGTGAAAAATATAAAAAGAAGATGTAAAAGCAGACAATGCTCTTCATCTGATCCAGCCATGAGCAACATGAAGGCAATTTTTTATACAGAAATGATCAAATTGGCCATACAGACACACACGCAAACAAACAAACACTGATTCAGTTTATCTTTTTGGCATAAATACAGAACTATTTTAGATCAATTCATTATTTTTCAACCACTGATTATGCTGTTAAAAATAAAAAATTAGAGCTCTTTGTCTTAACTAAGGAGTGGGAGTTACTACCCACACCGGGTCAGAAGGTGTTAGACACTTAGCAATGAAATGCCAAAAAACATGGAGTAAGAGAAAGAATTTGAAAGAGAAAGAGAGAAAGAGATGAAAAAGGTAGACAAGGGTCATGGCCGCTCTTATGTGATTTGTGTACGTCCGCTTTGTGTCTGCGCGTAAGAACCAACGCATGTCTGAGTGTGTAGTGAATTAACTTTCACGCACCCTGGACTCGAAAAACCCAATCATTTTTTCATTAACTGGTGTAGGGAATCGGGCCAGGCGAGCGCAAACTAATTACCCTTTGCCAGAGGGGCCAGTAGAGGGAGGCAGGGAGTGCCAGCTGCCCAGTGCAGCGGTCTCAAAGCTGGGTGGGTGCGCGAGGGGCCACTGTAGCCTCGCATTAGATGAGAGGGGCGGCTTGTATGCATAGATCTATGTAGATGTGAGCAGGGTCCAAAATGAACACCAAAGCCGCATAAAAATGACTTGTTAGTGGACAGTACCATTGAAAAGAACATAATGTAGAGCCTACATTGAATTGTACAAACTACAATCTGACCATGAGTGATGTGAGTGACATACTAGTATCTACTAAACACAGATCATAGGAAAAAATCTGAATTCATGTGTTGATTTTTTTTCTGCAGAAGTCTGTCACGACATATACTGTATGTGGGATATTCCTCACATTAAAGCACCAAAAACACATATTAGGAACAAGTATTATAGGATATGTGCTATTTGTCATTAATACGCATGGGAAAAGAAACACTGAAATAATCCCACTCTCATAGGGACAGAATTTTATATACACTTTTGTAAGCAGAAAAAAATATATTTATGAGCAGGTGTGTCATAAAGGCAATTTGTGAGCAAGTATAGGGTCCTGGTTGGTGCGGAGGAGGCGGTCTTACCTTGCTGGGCAACCCTGCTTGAAGATCCGGCTTCAGCTGGGGAAGAGCTCTTGGAGCGCGTGCTGAAAGGTGATTGTCTAAAGCGGTCGTCTAGGAAAGGGCTGGGAAATCACAAGCTACCATTAGATTCAATAAATGTCATTCACTACATTCTGGCAGCATAATAGGTGCACAATGGTAAACCTACCTGTGTATGCCGAATGATGCATTGTCTTTGTTTTCGTTAGCTTTACTTACTTTTTCTGAAAAAGAAAAACACAATGGAGTTAAAAATAGGCTTGTTTTTGTGTTGTACTTACAAAAATCATATGCCGGCAGTAGGTGTAAATAAGGCAATTATTTGTTAGTAGAACTATTCCTTTATAAAGCTGACCATTAATCCATCCCTGATAAAAAGACAATCATAGCTGGTCTCCAGCATATATTGTGTTTTGCATGCTGATAGATTAGAATGCTGTTTTGCTGGTGATGCAAGAACCAGTTTTTCCAAAATTGCTATAAAATAGTTTTTTCCCCCTTTAAAATTCATTTGTCAAACTAAATCATTTTGGGTAATTCTTCTAAATGCAAGATCCAGTTTCACCAAAATTGCTATAAAACTGTTTTTCCTCATTTGTCAAACTTAATAATTTCTGGTAATTCTTCTAAATGCAAGATCCAGATTTATCAAAATTGCTATAAAATCGTGTTTTCTTTATTTGTCAAACTCAATGATTTCTGGTAATTCTGCTAAATGCAACATCCAGTTTTACCAAAACTGCTATCATTTTTTTTTTCTCCCTTTAAAATTCATTTGTCAAACTAAATAATTTCTGGAAATTCTGCTAAATGCAAGATCCAGTTCTACCAAAATTAAAACAATAATGAAATTAATTTTTATAGTCATAAAAATAAATAGTTTCAGTTAATTTTATGATTGTGCTTTCCCACCAGCTAGACCAGCATGAACCAGCCAGAATGGAATTAACAGAATGGAATTCTTGTTTTCCAGTAAAAATCTAAACATAAAAGTTAGTAAATATATTCAGAAAATATATTTGACGTCTTTTTTTTTCTTGTCAATTTATTTGTATTCTTGTTTTAAGCAAATATCTAGCAACATTTTGACAATGGGGTAGGACAAATACATAATTCATTTGAATACATATTAGAATTTAATCATTCAAAATAAATTCTCTGAAAAATATATTACACAATTTTACGTTAGATAAAACAGGACAGAAATACTAAATAATAAATAATTCTGCCATGCATGCTGATTTAAGACCGTCTTTTCAACAGGGATTGCAGTGGTTAGATTTTTTTTAACCATGTTTTGCCAAACTGCTTTTAAAATCTCGAAAAGCAGAGGGCAAAAGAGAACAGTGTCTCATATCTGTCTGTCTATCTGCCTGTCTTTCTCTCTTCTGGTGGTCTGGTAATGACCTTGCTCCCTGGGTGGCACTTCCTAAGCCCCCTCTCCCTGACACCCTCTCGGTCACACAGCTCACAGAGGATGGAAGGGCTCTCTGCGTTGCCATGACAATGCTGCACAGGAGCAAGAGGGAGAGAGAGAGAGAGAGAGAGAAAGAGAGAGACAAGGGAAGTGTGTGCAACCGAGTGTGCTTGAGCCAGAATGTTTGAGAACAATCTGAGGGAGTCGAGGGCTAGGGGTTATACATACACACTGTGCAGCTACACACCACTCCCATGGGGTAGGGGGGGAAATGGGAGGGTGCGAATGGCGTGCGTGTGAGGTTCGTGTATAGATATATATATATGTGTGAGTGGGGGGAGGCTTTTTGTGATAGGCTTCCGAGGTGCTAGATGGCATTTAAAGAGAGCCGTAGCTGGCAGCGAGGAGCGCTGGGGGCAGGTTTGTCTCTGCTAATCCTCAGAACGCTCTTGGAAGAAAAGCTCAATCCTGCCATCATTTAACACCACAAATATCCCTCCACTCTCTAGTGTGTCAGTGCAGCAATTAGAGAAGACGATGAAGAAGAAAACCTGAAGACTGTCGCTGCGGAGAGCTTTTTTTTAAACGGACAGTCCGCCCTTCGTTTCTTCTGTCATAGAGACTTACCAGACAGTTTGAAAAGCAGCTCAGAGGCCATTTTGACTGATATGTCCTGGGAGAAGAGGTCATTTTGGGGGCGGGGCAAATGATCTGGGAGGTTAACCATTGGTTCCTTCTTCTCACATCCCCTTGAAGTGCTGAAGCCCAGTAGATGAGAGGAGGGAGGGGCCAATTCTAGGGGCGGGTCCACTTCCATAGGCTCCGCCTTCACTATGACGTTCTGGTGGCAAGCTTCTTTGTTATTCTCTGAAAATGCAAATTAAAGTGAATGTTAATCCATTTGCAAACAACCACTATAACACTGATTCTAATTAGCAGTGCATGCTAAGGATAGAGATTTCAACAAACTCCTAAATCTAAGTGTTAAACTTCCACTTCAGGCAAAGATTTCAAGTAATGAAAGCTTTTTGCAGAAGTGGCCATCGCCATGAGTATATTTGGTAACGGCCTCAATGGTTTGAAATCGTCTGACTCGAGACTAGAGCGGTGTCATTTGCGATGTGATAGTCAGTGGCAGTCCTGAGGCGAAATCGTGCATAAGGTGCTCAGATGCCTCCGGATGATCCTTGGAAAAAGTTACTGCTCTGAACGAGAGCGAGAGAAACAGAGCGGCACAATCCCATGAAATTACCGCAGATCCGCCACAGGTGATACTTCATTTCTTTTATTTTAAAAGTAATTCTGTATGCAATCCTCATTTTTACGGATTATAATTTGATTATGTCTTTGCAAATGTAACTGTAATCTATTGGAATGCATACATACACTTTTTAGTATAGCCTATTGATTATGCTTCTCCAAGTACTCCATTTTTACCAAGCCTGGAAATGAATGACCTCAAAACATGTGGCACATTGAGCAGTGGTGTTATTACTACAGATGCACAACAATATAGTACCATATTGATTATTAGATTATTGGTACCATTTGATTATTAATTTAATTTAATTTAAATGTTTTTTTGAAATAAGTCTTATGCTCACTAAGTTACATTCAATATATTCAATATATTATATTCAATATTATAGAAAACAGAAATATTGTGAAATATTATTACTGATATGATTTCTTTTTGAATATATACTGTATATATAAACATGATCCTTCAAAAATCTGTCTAATATGCTGATTTGCGGCTCTAGAAATTTAGCTTATTGTTAAAAACAGTGCTTTACATTTTTTACATTCTTTAAATGCAAATGAGCTGCTGATCCCCGCCCCCTTTTCCAGAATAGAGCTGCGCCATTACAGCTCGCACCTGCTAAAAACATCTGTTTTAGTTCTGATTATCATGTTTATCGCGCTGAAAGCATGTGTTTTAAACCATATTAGTTTAAACTTCAGATATAAGGTT